TTGATGATTGATTCAATCAACTAATTTGTTGATTGTATTAACTTGATTCTTTAGATATTGAAAATTAAATAAATAACATTATGTTAATTTAAGCGTACAGAAACGTTGCTATTGTTCCAGCAAAAATCTTATTTTCACTTTACCGAGTGCCTAGTAGGTAATTTGCAGATTACCTAGATAATCTGAATATTACCTAGGTAATTTGAGAAATGGAATAATTTTCGCAGCTTTAACGAATCACCCTAGTTAATCTGCAGATTAGCTAGGTAATGTGCACATTAACGGATTTCGAGCTTTAATGGTAACATATATATATATATATATATTAGTTGCACCCAGCAAAATATTTGTTGTAAAAAATTGTTGGTAAGTTACAAATAAACAGGAAAAATAAAAGCAAATAAATATATTTACATAAATTTTCTCAGTATATAGCATTAATTTAATGCTTTAACAAAATGAAAACAGATTTCACATTAGCATATTCTTATAGATAGATTTATGTTCCTGGTTAATGCTAACAAAGATTAATATTAACATGAGACCATATGTCCCATCCTCACATGATCTTCATTTCTCTGAAAAAGTTTTAATAACCAAGTAAATATTTTCATAGTTGATTTGCATTCAAAAATAAATACCTAAGTTAATAACATTTAATAAAATGCAGTTTTTCATTTTTTTATGTATCCATAAGCATTCTTAGGAGTAATTCAAAAGAAATGACAGACTGAAAGCAATAACAATTATCCCAATTATTAGATAAAATGAGATATTTAAGAAAAAAGGAAATGTGATCATTTTATAATATAATAAAAAACAATTATAATAAGGTATTAGGATTTTCTTACTTCCTATTAATCCTTGAATCTTAAAAAAATTCTAATTGCAATGCAGTAAGAAAATAATGGTGTACAAATTAGAATAATAAGAAAAATTCAATATTTTAATGATGGATTAATTCTGAAATACAAAATGTAACTGCAATAACAAAACCTTACTTTCTTCTTTATAACTGCACATAATGGAAAGTCCTTTCATTAATATTTTTTTCTATTTATCTCATTGTTCAGTCATCATTCAGTCATCAGTTAACTATAAATAATAATCATGATGAAGTTTAAGCAAAGAACATCACTAAAGACACTAACATCTATTAATATTTATCAATATTTTCTACTTTACTAGCATCACCACCATCTTCTGAGATTTTGATATTTGAGTAGAAGCTATGGTATGTAGGTGGTATATATGGCAAAAGTTTCTGGAGATCTTGATATCATGTTTTTTTAATAGGTCAATCTTCAGGATGTTTAGGAAGCAAATCAACAATCTGGGTGATTGGTCTTCCTTTTCTTCCTAAACAAATCTCTTGCCAATCAATAATATCACTATGATTGTACTGTACCAAGAGTGTTGTTGGTTTCTTCTTTGTTACCCAAAAATATACAGCATCTCTTATAGAAACTTGTGAATCATCTGTAGCTTCTTACCTCTGCACAAATTGTTCACATAATAGTTCTAGGTTTTTAAGTTTTCTTTATCCATTTCAACAACTTTAAATGGGATTTTTTCCCTAAAACTTAGAATCAGTTTCACCCAATTTATGTGGAGTGTACAGAAACAGAGTTTTTCTTTCCACCTTTTCAATGAGATAAAAGTCGTGATCACTTGCCATAAAACTGTGACCTGAGACAAAAGATTTGTGAGTTATTGTCTCAAATATACTAGTTTGTATGAAATAAAGCCACAAAGAAACAATGATTGTATTTTTGTTTTGTCCTTCACATTAATCAGTCCATACAATTGGGTGTTTTTCCTTCACCAACCTATTTCACTCAAGCCCCAGGAGCTAATTGTTTCTAACCAAATGCACTTCACAACAATATTATTTTCATTCTTGACAGGACTGCCAAAATTATAAATCCTTAACTACCTCAAATGAAATTTGCATTCAGGAGTATGACAGTGCTAAGAAAGAAAACGAGGCCGAACTCGTAGGTATAGCCCGTTTTAGACATGAAGAGGAGGAAGAGAGTATAGTTTATTGTGAAGAGGTTATAGGGAAGGAGAATTTAAAGTATGATAGGAAAGAGGGAAAGTAGTTAACCAAGGGTCAAGGGACCCCATGAGCGCCCTGCATCGGTCTTTAATAAAATAAAGACAATACATTGAGGTATTGAAACAAAAAGCGCATACAATAAGGTACAGTGTTGACAGGTAACAGTTGAATAGCGCGACAATAGTAGTTGAAACAGGTAGGTTTACAAGGTGACAATTGAAGACACTAATTACGGTTATGACTGACGAGCAGTAGCGGCAAAAACGTAGTACAATGAGGAAGGTAATAACGTGACGTA